AAGCCAGATACGACACACTTTTATAACCTGAGGATGAGTTAATGTAATGATCTACTGTCTGGTTTCTCCAAGAAAAGTGTGTCTCAACTACAACTGCTTCACAGCTCAGGTATCTGAACTGTTCTGGACCTGTTCAGGAACTCTTAACCCCTGACTGTCGAGGCATTCCTGGAAGCAATAAAACCACAAGCGCTGGGTCTCCTCAGGGCCCCTCAACTCGTCTTCAATAATTCAAGGCAATAAATCCTCGTAAGTGGAGCCACAGTGAGTCAGAGGTCTCTGCTGCATCACTGCTGATTATCGGACGTTGTCACAACAGAATAACAGGCTTGTTGCTGATGTTACACCTCAGCATCAAATTACTACTTTTGAGGAGACGCGTTTCAGGGTCGGGATATGTTGTGAAACACACAAGCTGATCCTGCACTTTGACAAGAAGCACATCAGCAACATGCTCGTCCTGCAGTCTTGCCTTAAGATGCTTGTTTGAGAGGCTGCAAAACCCAGAAGTTTCGTCCTGAGCAAAGTTTCTGAGACGTCCCACATCACAAACACAGCAGCTGCACTAATTATAGCCTGCACACTGGTGGAACTGGGCTAGTCGACAGGAGACTCCGCTTCAGGATCACTTTGCCTAAACGCTCCTCGGATCTCGTTGCTTGTCCGACCTCCGGAGCAACTCGAGTCAGCGTTGATTCACCGACACTGACTCAGCCTCCGAGGAACGTCCAGCGGCAGCAGCAGCTTTAACCTCTGAGATTAGCTTCAGTTTGTGAATTCAGGGTTTGTTTCCTTTAAACTATACAGTGATCTCGGGATCTCAAGTGGCGAAACACAACATTTGTTCATGCCGGGGTAAAAGCTGAAGCGCGTGGAGAGCTGCGGTCATTCGTGCCGCTCTGAAAAACAGGGCAGTAGATCAATGCTGGATGTGATCTGATAAATCAGGCCTGCTGGGTCGATAAGTGCTGCTTATATCTGGCTGGATGGAAACTGAAAGAGAAGAAGTGCCCCGGTTTGCTCTGGGGTTTTCCCAGAAGCGCTTTAAAAACACAAAATCAACAGAAACCATCACTGATGCTGCTGCTGCTGCACAAACCGTCACGAAACCATCTGCAGTCATTTATTTAAAGTTAGTTACCATCAAATAATTCCTGCAGAACGTGAAGTTTATAGTCAAACACTGGTATGTAGTAGAAACTTTAGTTAAAGACTTTATAACGTTACAGTAGATTATGAGTTTAATACGTTTAGACTTTGCAATAATATGAAATGCATGAACGCTGCCGTATATCTCATAAATAACACCATGTGTGATATTTATGAACCAGCTTCACGTTTTTTATGCATCAACAATGTTCATTCATTCATCATTTATTTCCTGTTCATCGTGTTTGTGTGCCGCCTCTCGACCAGGTCGTTATTAAAAATTAAATTACCTGGAAAAAACTGAGGTTAAATAAAACAACAATAAGATAAAATTCAAAGGCAGCAGCAGTGGATGACAAATAGTGGTTTAATAAATATAATTTAGAAACCAAGAAAAAAATAATTTCACTTAGTGAGAAAAGGAAAGAAAATGTAAAACTGGTCTATATCTGGTGTATTTGTGCAGTTTGCAGTGATGTCCTGAGCTGCCTGAATCCGGCTGCTTTTTAAAACGCTGCTGTGTGAATATTCTTCATTTTATTTTTATATTCTTGTTCATGGCTCAGAAAAAAGTTTAGATTTCACTGTTTTTAACCATATTTTGTACATTAGAGTTAGAGATTGGCTGTAATTTTATTGTAAATTGTTACTAATATAGATTGTTTTTATTGTTTCAGACATGAACAGACGACTGAAGCTGTTTAGTTTTATAGTTTCATGTTTAGATTCTCCTCCACCGCGAGGTTCACGGAGCTGTGACGTCCAAATGTTTAACATTCTGTCATACGTCACTGACAGCCTGTTTTGTTTTTTGTTTTTGCGACACAACTAGAACTAAAACTAGATTTTAAAAAAGCAGCATTTTCATGATGAATGTTTGACTTTTTTGTGAGTGATATAAACTCATAAATGATGAAGCTCTAAATCAGGGGTGTCAATCTCAAAAACACAGTTTTTAAAACCTGAACAAAGTTGCGGGCCAACATTGAACAAATGAACCTTTTAATATGGACCGAAACAAATTTTGCTTTAACATTGAACATGGAACAAGCAACGCTTATCACCATACATTATATATAACTTAATAGTGGAGACATGCAAAATCAAATTATAAATAAAAAAACACATCAATGGCACAGTGACAGTGTGAAGTCGCTCTGCCTACTGTCACAGAGGAGAGGGAGTTTCTGGGTCCTGTCCTGATTGACGCGCCAAAACAACAACAGTGCATTATGGGATTTGTAGTATTAGCGGTGAATGCGCTGTACAGTATAATACCGGGGGCAGCTCTAGTAGTCATTTGGTATTGTCTCGCGGGCCAAACATAATTACAAAGTGGGCCAAATTTGGCCCGCGGGCCAGAGTTTGACACCACTGCTCTAAATGGATGAATGAACTCATGTTTAATCCAAGTGAAGCTAAAGTTTCGGTTCGTCACATTTGTTCTCACTGTGGGTTCACTGTTTCACTCAGAAAGTCATAAATCATCAGAAGAAAAAAAGCAAAAGGTGATTTTTTTATGATTATTTATTTAGAAATGAGGGAAATGCTAGAAAAATACGACGGCTCCACATCATGTCGATGTTTTACTGCTTAGATTTTCAGCTTGTTTCCACTCTGGCTCTGCATAAACACTGACTGCAGTTCAGCTGAAAACACGTTTTGTAAGAATTTTAGTCACGTTGCTTCTCAGTCGTGCAAACGAGTGTCGAATTGTTTAGTTTTTTTTACAGGACTGGAGGTAAAACGGTTGATTTTGGGTGTATTTTTAAGTGAGAAGTGAAGAGTAAAGGGGTGAAATATCACTACTTTAAGAGGAAATTGCACATCACGTATGATTTGTGCTGTTTTTACAGCTTCTGGCTCTGATGGATGCAGTAAAGTCTGTTGTGGGGGTTTAAAAAAAGAAAGAATAACTTTTAAATCCAGGTTTTTGAGTTCAGATGTGTTTGTTTCACACAATAAAAGCAAAACTGATGACGAGGTGGAGCTTTAAATTTCAAATTATTTCATATTATTAACACCCCAACACAAACTGTGAACCTCATTAGTGTCACTACTGTTCTACCTGGAATAATATTTATGTTTTATCTTCACTGGCACCAGTTGATCTTCTGTGAGCTGGAACAGTGCGAGTGGAGACGTGATGAATGCGAGTCAGGAGGGAAATGAGGCAAAGCTTCTCGTTCACAAATACTTTACATAAGCGAACCACTGCAGCCACAATGGAAATGATGTGATCTGGTACAGTAAGAGTAGGAGGCGGTATAAATAAACCACATTAGCATTCTGGAGACGTTCTCCTTCAGGAGGCTGCACACGGTTTGTTCTAATTCTGATTCATTTGACTAAATCTTTATCTGCAATACCTCAGACAAACTGAGGATGTTGTTTTTCATTGTTAGGAGCTAAAAACATCCCATAAAAAGACCAAAAACAGTTTATCATTTATTCATCCTCATCAGCAGATGATTATAAAACATCTGAACACGTAAGCAAACCAAAAACCTGCAGTACTCCGATTTTTATTCTGTTTGAGTTCAGTTTTAGTCACAAAAAACTACAAACATGAGATTTTTTTTATGGCGTTTAAGTTTTTTATTTTATATTAAATCATTA